GTGCGCGCGACGGACCCCGGGTGCCCCGCGGGGGGCGCGATCTAAGGGCGAGGTCCGCGCGTCCGCCTGGGTCAGCGGGGTGGCTGCTCCAAGCTGCTGACTCATCAGGTGTCCGTCGGCTTCCGAGCGGGCGGGGTCGCGCGGGCTGGCAGGGGCGGCGGGGAGACCCTGCTGAGCGGCTTGGGCTCGCCACGCGCGTGCGAGCCCAGCGGAGACGTGCTGAGTCATCAGCATGAGGTCACTCGGTGCTCCTGCTGACGCTGGGCCGGGGCGGGGGGCCCAGGCCCGCTATCGGGCCGTCTGTGCGGGAGGCAGGGCTAGATCCGGGCGGCGAAGGTCGGGCCGGGATCCGGGGTCGTGTTTAAGTTTGACGGACCTGTAAGTTGAAGGCAAAGGCCTCCAAGGAGGAGGCATCATTACTGGGGCGCGCCGCAGGTTTCTCCCAGGGTGGAAGGTAAAGTCCCGGGCTTACGCATCCCTCCTAGGACCTTGGGCTTCTGGTCCAGGTCCCTCTCCTGGTCCAGTTCCCCAAACTGGGAAACAGATCGGAGTACGCCGAGGGGAGGAGCTTAGGTGGGCCGAGCCAGCTTGTCTGGGAAGGAGGCTTTCCTTCTGAGTGACCCCTGGCTGGCCGGGCTGCGTCGGCCCTGGACGGAAGAGACCGGGAGCCAGGGGAGAAGGGTGTGTGGCTTGAAGGAAGCGGGGCAGCTCCACCAGCTAATGGAAGGAAAGGGTGGGTCTAGGTAGGCACGAGCATGGAGTGGAGAATGTAGTTCTCATTTACCTCTACGTTATCCCTGTCAGAAGAGTTTGGGGTCCCACTGTTGCCTGAAGTTGGCAAAAAGTGTGCCCTGTTGGGTGTCTGACCTGATGGCTGCGAACTCTTGGGAAGTGACAGCCCGTGTGGGGTGTGGCCTCCACCTTTGCATGGCTGAATGGCTATTTATTGACTTCTCCGTTGTAAAGGTTCCTGAGCTCTATTCTGCATTGCTTTCCTTGCTCGGGGTTTCATGGCTAGCTTAAGCAGACCTTGTGGTTTGTGCTTAAGGGTGTCCCCTCAGCACTTAACTACACTGAGCCCCTAGGCTGCGTGTAGGTGCCAGGTGTTTTCATTGGGGGTGGAACTTTATTCCCTATGAAAATTCAAGATCCCAGAAAAGTGTTTAAGCTTTGGAGTTACTATGCTTCTGTGAACATAAAGTTTTAAGTTCTTTCCAGATAATGTCAGTCTTTGAAGGAGGGGAGACCTAAGTCGGGGGTCTCCTGCACTGGAGTTTGAAGGCAGGGTTGAGCAGGGTCACTGTCTTGCTGGAGACTAACGTCCAGATTGTCGAATGCGAGAGGACTTAGGTGGGCCGAGCCAGCTTGTCTGGGAAGGAGGCTTCCTTCTGAGTGACCCCTGAGACGCCCAAACCTTTACTTTCTTGTCAGTCTGCGTGGGTGGCCCCGAGTCCCTTGGTGCCTTGTGATTATCCATAGCTGTCAGTATTTGCAGGAGGGCGGGGTTGGGGGGACAGCTCATCTTGATTAGCTTCCCTGAGCTTCTTCCTCCAGCTCTGAACTATCCCTCAGCACGGGTGTCCCCCAAAACTGTCTGCCTAGTCACTCTGTGACCCTCGGTTGGTAGAAGCCAGGCAGGCAGCTGGAGGAACTGGCTTTGCTGAGACCTGCTCTTCCTGGTTAAGCATACATGAGTGTACACATGCACGTTTGCGTGCGCGCGCGCGCACACACACACACACACACCTTTGATCAGGAGGCAGTTGGCTGTACTTGTGCTGAGTTCAGGCCTTCAGTAGAGGGTAAAATCTGTTGAGGAGGCACTTTTCAGCTCCCAGCCACCACACTCGGCACTTTTCTGTGCAGTCTCAGGAAGTCACCGTTTTGAGCTCAGCAGTCTGTGTGAGGGAAGCTCTGCTAGGGCTGCCTCTCTCACCTCGACTTGTCTCCGGGACCAATTTGTAAGAAAGGCAGATCCCCTTCAGACCTTTCGTTCTGACTCTTGTCTTTCTCTTGATCTAGCAGCACCCTTGCCTCTGAAAATGCCCTTAATCTGGTCCTGGAGAAGTGTCGTCTCGCGTCTGTGCTTGGTGTTTGCATGTAGCCACCCTCCTGTGGGAGGTTAAGAGTGGTAGGGTCTCCACTCAAGAGAGCTTGTGCCTCTGGCTCACACTTCAGTTCCCTTGATAAGTGTAATAGGCACCCCGCCCCCCCACCTCCAGCACATTGTTACCTGAAGTGCTTACAGCTTTCAGCCTCCTCTGAGTGACTGCAGCAACCTCACCTGCCATTCCTTACATTTCCCTGCATCTAACCTGGAGAGGGGAGGAGGCATCTTTACCCATGGGACTGATAGGTGCTGGGCTAAGTGGGGATTCCCAGCCTGGGTCTACAAAAATGTTCTTGGCAAAGCTTTAGAAAGCTGAAAATGAGATTGCGTGCCAGAGGGGTGGCTGACTGTAGGAGATAGCTGTTTTGATTTTGTTTTCTGGCCCTGTGGTCACTGACCCTAGGCAGAGGGCCAGAGACTAGCCAGTGACCCAGAGGGGCTGGCTCTTGCCTCCTTCCAGCCAACAGTGCCCTTTCTCTGCTAATTGTGGGGGCCCTTGTGAAACACCCAGTGTCGGGTGGGGCAGGAGCGCAGGATGCCGCAACGAAGCCACAGGGTGGTTACCCCATCTGTAAAGGAGGTGGACAGGGAGGGCTGGAGGGGCCCGGGCTCAGCTACTCCCAGCTGGATTGCCTGTTACCTGGAAGGTGAGAGGATTCCCAGTAAGCACAGTTAGACAGACCTGGTTGGTCCTCTGCCAGAATGAGGCAGGAAGCCACTTCCTGAGTCTTAGAAGGAGAAGGCTTTCTTTTGTCCTGGGTCAGCTCAGGGAAGCATATATGGGAAGCAGGATCCTGGAGTGTAGGGTCCCTGCCTGACCCTTGCCTGCTGTTGGTCCCAGTAGTGGGTCTCCTGGGGAACTGTTGGCTGGCCTCAGGAATGGGAGAACAGCTCAGGAAGAGAGGGAGGCGATATGCTGAGTCAGCGTGACTCGCCAGGAACAGTGTGCTCTGGGGCAGCACTGGGGTTATTTTTAAAGCTCAGCTTCCTTCTAGGCTTGCCCCTCCTGCAGCCCAGACCTTCTCATCTCTTGCTGCTCCCTTTGTCTTTCTTCGGCCCTCACATCGCTGGTTCTTCCCTGGGTAGAACCTCCTGCTCTCTCTCCCACCTGGCTCTCTGGGGAAAGGGCCTGCTGAAGCAGTCCAGCTCGGGCTAAGCAAGGTGCGAGCAAGGGCTGTCCTCAGGTCAGGTGAGGGCCAAGGTTCTGTGGGCTGAGCCCTGGACAGCAAGATTCCTGTTGGGGTGTAAAAGGTCTACAGGGTCCTGACCTCTGCTCTGTGTCTTGTAGAGTGCCTGCTCATTGTGCCCCCGGGTTATGACGACCCCCAATAAAGGAAACAAGGCCTTAAAGGTGAGTGAAGAAGCTGGGCTTGGGGTGTGGCGGGGTGACATGGAAGGACAGCACCCCTTCAGCTCTGCCGTGACCTGTGTGCTGCTCTACTCCAGGTGAAGCGGGAGCCGGGCGAGAATGGCACCAGCCTGACTGATGAGGAGCTGGTGACCATGTCGGTGCGAGAGCTGAACCAGCACCTGCGAGGCCTATCCAAGGAAGAGATCATCCAACTGAAGCAGCGCCGGCGCACACTCAAGAACCGTGGCTACGCAGCCAGCTGTCGGGTGAAGCGGGTGACACAGAAGGAGGAGCTGGAGAAGCAGAAGGCGGAGCTACAGCAGGAGGTGGAGAAGCTGGCCTCTGAAAATGCCAGCATGAAGCTGGAGCTCGATGCTCTGCGCTCCAAGTATGAGGCCCTGCAGAACTTTGCCAGGACCGTGGCCCGAAGCCCTGTGGCCCCAGCTCGAGGTCCCCTTGCTGCTGGCCTGGGGCCCCTGGTCCCTGGCAAGGTGGCTGCCACCAGCGTCATCACAATAGTAAAGTCCAAGACAGATGCTCGGTCATAGGGACACGTGCAATTGCCAGGCAGGTCTTTAAGGGGCCACTAAGTGCGTGGCAAAGTTGGCAGCCCTGTCCCTCTTCCTCTCCTCTTCCTGTCTCTTCTCCTCTCCCTCCCCCCTTCCCTCCCCCCTTCCCTCCCCTGCAAAGCACAACCTGCACCCAGGGGCGTTGGGCTGAGCCCCTTCGATGTCATCCTTGTCGTCACGCGTGTGTTTCGTACGTTGGGATTGGTCAGTTCAACAGTGATGTTGGGTTGCCTCTAACCCCTTTGTACCAAGGCCATGCAGGCTCGGAGTCCAGAGTGGGCACTGTGGGAATGAACAGGAGTGCCCTGGGCTTAGGTCTGCCCTTCTCTGGTGGTCTGCAGGCACTGCAGGCTGCCGGTCTGCAGTGGGACTTGAGAGCTTTCTCTTCAGATTCCAGTGGGCCTCTCAGCTCGATCCAGAAAGGAAGAGACGGGCGCTGCCCTGGAAAGTGGTTATGTCTTGAAGGCCCTGGGCACTGGGGCAGGAACCATGGTGCTGGAGCCTGGCACAGTGCACTGGATAAGACCAAATCGCCGGTTTTAAGTGTGGGTGGAAGGTGTGTCAGTGTGTCCTGCGATGGGTCCGGTGTCACTGTTTACATGACCTATTTGTGTGGTTATATAGCCCTTTATTTAAAAGAAAAGTTCCTTTTACGAAGTTATTAAATTATATGTTTAAGAGCTAAAAAGGAAAAAAAAAGAGCTGCAGAGTATTTATAAAATTGTCTTAAAAAAACAAACAACATTTGACCGTATAAATGGAAAAGGGAAGAAAATATAGTAGAAACTTTGCTAGTTAAAAAACAAAATCCCTTTCTTGTAAACTTGGGGACAGCTCTGTGGCTGTTGGAGTTTAGTTTTTATACACAGAGTTAACAGACATTACTTATAAAACTTAGTTTAAAAAAAGAAAAAGAAAAAAAAAAAGCCAAGCTGCGAGCCGACCAGAGGCCGTCCTCTTTGATATCTCTTTTGCAATTGTACCGAAAGTGACTTACTCCTTTGCCCTTCCTGCTTCCGTCTTGCCGGTGCCGTGGTGTTGTCCGTGCCTGGTGAGGTTTTGTGCAGCCGTAAAGTGCTGGTGCTTCTGGTGACCTTTGACCTGTGGCTGTCCCTGTGTGTGGGTTTTTTTGTGTATGTGTGTTTGTTTTTTGGATTTTGTTGTGGTTTTGCTTCTGCTGACTTGCTGGACCTGGGTTGGGCTGGGGTCCCAGGCAGAACTTACTCCATTGGAGTGTAGGGGGCTTCCTGCCAGCTCACATTCTTCTGCCCGTGTTCCATTTCTCTGCCACTCGGTCCCCCTGAGCCTTGGCTTCCCATGTGGGTCTAGGGCTTGGGTTGGTACAGTGGCAGAGTGAGTGAAATTCGGAGCTGTCTTGGGCCCCCACGCTGCTTCCATATCCACCCCCTCTGGTCCTGGGTGGTGGTGCTGCAGGGACAGGGGGTCACTGTGGGTGCCCACAGGGCTGTGTCCTGCCTGTCCCCTGCTGTCTTCCTCCTGGCCTCAGCTTTGTTCCTACAGACTTCATTTGGGGCCTTGGCTAGGCCACCCCAATGGCCTACCTTGTGGGTTGGGAATCCTGTCACCCACCTATTCCTAAAATCCCATTCTGTGGGGTGTTGTTCCCCAGGCAGATTAGTCAGGGGCCCCACTTGGGGTAACCTGTTCTTCCCTGCCTCACTGTGAGAGCCTGGAGGCCTCCACCATTGCCAGACAAGGGCTTTGGCTTCAGGGCCAGGTCTTTTTCTTCCCCGCTGTCTGCAGCTCTTGGCTCTAGGCCCTTCTTATGCCTCCCTTCGGGATCTGTGTCTTCCAGGGATCCGCTGTTGGACTTGGAGGTGCTTCTTTGCAGGGCCCAAGCCTGCCTCCTCAATCCAGCTACCAGTGGGGGCTGCCCACCTTCCAGGCTTGGCTCAGGAAGCTCCTCGCAGGCGGATGCCCACCTGCAAGAGGCTGTGACCCTGTCTGGTCACATGGCCCTTGCATTGCTGGTTCTTGGGGGCCCTGGATCCCTGAAAAGCACAGAATTGTGAGCTGATGAAAGCAAAGAATGGCCTGATAGGCCTTTACCTCGAGGGCAGCAGGATTTTCACTCAGTTTGACCCGGCATGCAGTGCTCTGGGAGCAGGACCTCTGCCAGCCCTGGCATTTTGGTGGGCTTCTTTGGCTCAAGGTGCTCAGACACTCCCATTGATGCCTGAGTCAGATATGAGTGGAAGTCTGGACTGTTGATTATAAGTTACCAGGTGACCTCATCCCTTCCCTTTGGTTCTCAAACTGGTGTCCAGAGGAGTTGCTGATTCTGACTGTGGCAGCAGAGCTGGAGTGGAATTATGCCCATGCCCAGCAGAGGAGAGGGACAGGCTTTCCAAGTTCTTTGGTCCTAGCTGAGTGGGAGTGCATAACCGAGCATGGCCTTCCATGTGCATAGCTCCAGCCTGCTGGGAGGAAGAGGGAGAGGAGGAGGTTGAGGCTGGACATGTGTTGAACAGAAATAGCAGGTCTTAGCTTCTGAACTGGATAGGGCCATGCTCATGGTTTTCAGGTTTGCAGCATCTGCTTCTTGAGTCTGGGGAACATTCCTGGTAAGCCAGCCCTCAGTGCCATCCTGTCCCTTCTCCTTGATGTCCAGGTGTGACTGTTGCTGTCTTTCTGATCATTGTTAATTCTGTTTTCCTACTTGTGAGGGTGTTGTGTTTGACTTCTGACACAGCGAATGGAGAGCTTTGGCTGAGGCCAGTTCTCCCAAACTACTCCGCTAAGTAAACCATTATTGTGCGACTTCCCTCCTACCCTGACTTTGCCTGACCTCCTTCCTTGGACATGGACACTCGGATTTCAAAGGAAACCCCACATGAGATGGGATCATTTTCCTCTAGAGCGTGGTCCCCAGAGTCCTCCCCTCCGTTGTGTCTGGCTGCTAACCTGGGTGTTGTACCATTAGCGCAGGGCCTCCATGGCAACACTGAGCTGCTCTGGGTTCCCTGTCATCACCAGGCTTCCCCACAGGCTGTTCTCAGTCCACCTTTCAGGTCTGTGTGTACTCTGTGTGTTAGCAGCAGCCTTGGTGTCCAGTGCCAGGGTGTGCAGTTTTGATAAGCTACAGCCCACTTTGAGATGGTGAGGCCACTTCCCTACTGCCTCTCTCTCTGGTGTGCCCACTTGGCCAAAGCTCCCATCCACAGCTGGGATGTCTGAGCCACAGCCTGCTGCACTGTTTCCGCTCTGGGATCTTCTGAGTTACTTTTTTAGGCTGTGGTTTGGTGAGAGGAACCAACACATTAACGATTTTTTTTCCCCAAAAGCCACTGAATAATTCTTCTTGGCATGTTTTCATGCTCTTGGCTGCCTGGTTTGGGAGCAGTTGTGGAGAAGAGGACAGACTCAGTACCACACAGAGGCATGGAATTGCGAGGGCTGCTCATGGCTTGCCTGTTTCTGGCATGTGTCCTGGGCGTGTGCTATTACCTACTGGGCCAGCTGCACACGTGACTACCCTGTCCCTGGAGCAGCAGCATGAACAGCAGCGCGGGTGTCTGGAGTGCCCCTCACAGAATTCCCTGTTCGCTATGACCCCAGTTTGGCTCTCAGCCCCTCCAGCAACTCTGCCCCAGTCCTGTGTTTCCTCCCCTCCTCTCTGTCTGCTAGTCCTTGAAGCCTTTAACCAATGGGAGTGGGTACAGAAAGCCTTCTCCTGGCAACTTAGGGCAACAGGACAAGGGCTATTGTGTGTCCAGCTCTGTTGGTCTCCTGGTGCTGAGAGGTGTGTCCAAGCAGAGTTGATCAGCCCCTGCCTGCCCTGCAGGGCTGAAGCCAGGGGGAGGTTAGAAGAGAGTACCCTAAATGGAGTGGAGGTCCTTAAAGATCTAAGTGAGAGGGGCTAGGATGTGGCTGCAAGGTGAGACCCGGTCTCCTGCACCTGGGTAGGGTCATCAGGGATCTGGCTGCGAGGTGAGGCCTGGGCGTTCGCAGCAGTGCAGAGCGATCAGCCGTCTGGCCTCAGCAGACAGCAGCCTTGGTGCCCACCCGTGCCCTGCGCAGTATTTATTGCTAAATTATTGTCCAGGAGGGGCGGCGCTGGGCCTGGCCCCCCGGGTATTTATTGCTGTACATAGTGTATGTTTGTGATATATAAGGTTTTCTTTATTTTGTATATGATCAATAAACGCCTTTTAAAGAGACCTGCTGGTGTTTCTTTGCAAAGAGGAGGGGAGGGGAAACTCGGGTGGGAAGGTTGAGCCGGAAGGGGCGGGGTGGGTCGGGCGCGCGCATGCGTCTCTGTGGCTGCCGGGCGAGGCGGAAGCGGAAGCCGGAAGCGCAGTCCCGGGAGCGATGGCAGCCGGTGGCGGTCTGAGCCGCTCGGAGCGCAAGGCGGCTGAGCGGGTCCGGAGGCTGCGAGAGGAGCAGCAGCGGGAGCGCCTCCGCCAGGTAGGCTACCGTCGTGCCCGCGGCCGTGCCCGCGCGTGCAGTCGCTCATCTGCCGCTCGTCCGCAGGTGTCACGCATTCTGAGGAAGGCGGCTGCAGAGCGCAGCGCGGAGGAGGGCCGGCTTCTGGCCGAGAGCGAGGATCTGGTGACCGAGCTGCAGGGTCGGAGCCGGCGGCGTGAGGGCCTCAAGCGGCGCCAAGAGGAGGCGAGTGGCGGGCGGCGGGCGGCGGGCGGCGGGCTGTAGGCGGCGGGCGGCGGCCCGTATGACCGGCCCCGGCTCCTCTCAGGTGTGTGATGACCCAGAGGAACTGCGGAGGAAGGTCCGCGAACTGGCGGGAGCTGTCCGGAATGCCAAACACTTGGTGGTCTACACAGGCGCTGGGATCAGCACGGTAGGCGAGGGCCTGCGGGCTGGGTCGGGTGTGGGGCGCCCCCTTCTGGGACACAAACTTGGGCTGCACGGTGCTGGAGTTTGGTAACTACCCAAGTTCAAACAGTCACCTTTGAAGCAGCTCCAAGGTGTCCTCTTTTCTCAGACCCGAAACAACTCTAGATTTAAGATTTAACTAAGGCAAGCGCAGCGGGGTGGCACAAGCCTTTAATCCTAGCACTTGGGAAGCAGGCGGTTCTTTGTAAGTTCAAGGCCAACCTGGTCTACATAGGAAGTTCCAAGACAGCCAGGACGACGTAGAGACCTTGTCTTTAAAATGGTAATGGAGTGGCATTGAGTAGGGTTCTGCAGGGAAATTTGGGGATGAGAAGCGTGACAGACAGACAGCGGTGGCCAGAAGCAGTGTGAGGAAGAGGAACATTCTGCTCTAACTCTTAGACATCAGGGACATAAGCATTTGGGACCTTCGGAGCCATGTGATGATCCATCCAGTTATGACTTTACAGCAGTGATGTCACCTCTACAGATCTGGTGACAACTAAACACCATGTGCAGCTTCTAATGTGGTCTGAGCACCATTTGAGGTTCTTGCCCTTAATGTATTGGGATTACTGGTCAGGGTGGGTACCTCTCTGAGCTTCAGCAGCAGTGAGGATACAGGGCTTCCCCAGCCAGGATCCAAAGACTCTTAGATCCTGTATGCTTTCTGTTTCTCGTGGAAATTTAACTAACGCTTATCTCATCTTAGAGGCTTTTATATGTATGCTAAGTTGGAGTGAAAACTGTTCAGAGCCCCAGGATATAAGTATTTGGACAGAGATGTGCTCCCTCCTGGGGTACACTATTTGCCAAACATGACGTGAAAACACTAAGACCTTCAGTGTTTCAGACAGATGTGGACATAGCTGCTCACTGCTAGAAAGGACCCTGAAGTAAGGCAGGGTTCTGAGGAGTGTGGAAGGGTGAGCTGGCCTAGACAGGACAGGAAAGTCATATGCATAGACGGAAAGAGACATACTTGGGTCCATTCTACTTGGGGATCAGACAGGTCAGCAGTGGATGGAGCAGACACTAGTCTGTCAGGAAATCTAGAATGGGGCATGCCCCAAATGGGGCATTCGGCAGTACCTGGTGACTCCCTCCCATTAGACTTCTCTTTTTGTCCAATTGTGCAGGCGGCTTCTATACCAGATTATCGGGGTCCTAATGGGGTATGGACACTGCTTCAGAAAGGAAGAAGTGTGAGGTGAGCATCTCACAGTTTCCTCACGTGGTTAGGCAGCAGCTGCACCTGTGTGGTTCAGCCCTTTCACCTCCCTCTCTCTTACATCCTTCAGTGCTGCTGACCTAAGTGAGGCAGAGCCTACTCTCACCCACATGAGCATCACCCGTTTGCATGAGCAAAAGCTGGTAAGAGCCCAGAGCTGCACCTCGGTGCCCAGTCAGTCCTGTGATGAACAGTCCTAGGAGCTCAACTCCTGTCTGGTCCCTGCTATGCTTTCTTCCCAAGAAGCAAGAGTAGCACCTGTCCTGAACAGTTAGCTTGCGGCTTTCCATTCAGTTTCTTTTGTGTCGGCAGGGGTGGAGTTGGGGACAGGGGACCTTTAGACATCTTAGCTACAGTGGAGGTTTGTCAGAAACCTCCGGAGATCTGCTGAGCAAGTAGGGAAAGGGATCTGCCTAGGCTCTCGAGGGACCTGAAAGTGAATGACCTAAGAGGGTATTGATCTAGTGCCACAAGCTGCTGCCCACATTGTAAGGGCAGCAGATGCTTTCTCTCCTGGGTGTTCCCAGTGTATCAGAGCTAGTAGAGGAGAACTACCACAGGGCCCTCCTGGGTTACAGTTGCCTCTTTGTTTTGGGAACCTTGGCCTTGGCCAGACTGGGCTCAGGATAATTTCACTGCCGTAGGGTGCTTCCTCCGTCCCCTACTGACTGCCACCCTGTTCTGTTTTCCAGGTGCAGCATGTGGTGTCTCAGAACTGTGACGGGCTCCACCTGCGCAGCGGGCTGCCACGGACTGCCATCTCGGAGCTCCATGGGAATATGTATATAGAAGTGAGCAGTACCAGAGGGACGCAGGGCCTGGGTGACAGGAAGGTCTCGCTCACTGTGCTCTCTCCTCCTCAGGTCTGCACCTCCTGCATCCCTAATAGGGAATATGTGCGAGTGTTTGATGTGACGGAGCGTACTGCCCTTCACCGACACCAGACTGGCCGGACCTGCCATAAGTGTGGGACTCAGCTGCGGGACACCATTGTGCACTTTGGGGAGAGGGGGACATTAGGGCAGCCTCTGAACTGGGAGGCAGCGACTGAGGCTGCTAGTAAAGCAGACACGATCCTGTGTTTAGGGTCCAGCCTGAAGGTACGTGCAGACAGCACCATTAACTCATTGTGGGTTGAGCATGTTACGGGCCTGCCTACCCAGAACTGTTTATTAGTGGGTTAGAGTTGCTGTCTTAGTTTTTACCCTCTTACTGTGTGTTGTGTCTGTCCATTCCCACAGGTACTAAAGAAGTATCCTCGCCTCTGGTGCATGACGAAGCCTCCAAGCCGGCGGCCCAAACTCTACATTGTGAACTTGCAGGTAACATGGGTACTTAGAGCTTCCTCCTTATCCCTGGGTCTGAGGTCAGAGGAGCCAGGGAAATGTGCCATGTTTGTACGTCCTGGAAGTCTTGTACAGGTCCCTGTTCCTGGAGAGGGCTGACCCAGCCTGCAGGGGACCAGCAAAGGGTGGGAAGTTACTCTCATCTGCCTTTCTTATCTTCAGTGGACCCCAAAGGATGACTGGGCTGCTTTGAAGCTTCATGGGAAATGCGATGATGTAATGCAGCTCCTCATGGATGAACTGGGCCTGGAGATCCCGGTCTACAACCGGTGAGTGGGTGCAGCACGGCCATTTCCGCCCTTCTGTGTGATGGGCTGTGTCTGTCTTCTGTGAGCCTCCGGAGAGACTGGCTGAGGCGAGGCTCCACCACAAGTGTACACTCTTCCACCCTGACTGGAATGGTGCCCGAACCTCTGAGGAGAGGGGGGGTCTGCCAGTGTGTTCTGTAGGATGTTGCCCCACGGATCTCTTGCAGCCTGGGTGGACAACTGTGAGGGGTGAGAACTGTGCACCTCTGGTCAGACAGAATCTGTGTCCTTGGTTTTGGGATATTTGGGGAAAGCTTAATCAAATTGCCTTGATACAGAATTTGTGATAATTTAGACTTGGTGTGTATTTTGAGTGAAAAGTTTACACTTTCTTTCTCTGTGAATTTTCAGGGTCTTATAGGGGAAATCAGTAACTTCTTTTAATCAAAGGGTTCAAGAAATTAAGGATCCCTTCACCTCTGGGCCTGGCAATTCTTGTATGTTATGTTTGTGGTGTTCTGTGACGTGGGCCTATCCTGTGCTGTACTGTTTTTTGTTGTTACTGTTGGTTTGTTTTCTTGTTGTTGTTTTTTTTTTTTTAACATTAAGTTAGCTCATTTTTTTTAATCAGTGCTTATCTTTATCTTACGTTTATAATATGTGGTTCTGCATCTCAATCAGATACATGATTTCTTCATGGTGTAGTCTGTAGGCCATGCCTCCCTAGCCAACTGGCCTTCACTCCCATCCCTGTCATGCAGTCTGGGAAGGGGAAGGGGTCTGGTCCACCTGCCCCCATCCATACAAGCGAAAGGTGGGGCCCAGAGTGGCTAGCACCCTCTCCTTGGAGATGGAGCCATCCTGCAGCTAGCACTACCCCTCCCTCCTGTGTGTGGAGCCCACCAATGATGATGAGACTCAGAAGAGACCCCTAGGGCTGTTGCTGGCCTTGGAGTTGCCACCCAAGCAGATTGTCCCCTGAGCCAGCTCTTCCACAGCTCGGTGACACTGAAGCTGCTGTAGCCAGAGCCCAGCCACCACTGAGACACAGGGAAGGGGTAGGAGACAGCTGGGAAGGGGTAGGAGACAACTGGGAAGGGGTAGGAGACAGCTGGCCTTGGACGGCCTTCCTGGGAGGGTTGCGACTGAGAGAGTCTCAGACTTGTCTGATGCTGCTTCTCTCTCTGTTAGGTGGCAAGACCCCATTTTCTCCTTGGCAACTCCCCTCCGCGCTGGTGAGGAAGGCAGCCACAGCAGGAAGTCGCTGTGCAGAAGCAGAGAAGAGGCCGCGCCTGGGGACCAGAGCGCCCCGCTCAGCTCGGCGCCCCCCATCCTGGGAGGCTGGTTTGGGAGGGGCTGCGCCAAGCGTGTGAGAAGGAAGAAAGCGGCATAGCCGGGCTTCGGCAGAACAGTTGGCACTTTGCAGACGGCTTTGAGTCTTGTTCAGGGCCTGTGTCACCGTGAAGGCTGCAGGGCCCCACAGGACCTGGTGGGAAGAACTCTCGCGGGTGACATTTCACGGTGACGTTTTCTTAGCCATTTGCCCTCGTGGGAAGCCTCCCTTGCACTGTTGTGATTGCCCCAAGTGGGCGTGACTTTCAAGGACACCTCCCTCCCACCCACCCCTGTACAAAGGTGGCAGCAAGGCCTTAGTGGAAACAGAGCTCCGGTCCACCCCGGCCTGGCCAGCAGAGGAGCCCACCACTGCCTTACCTCACTCTCCAGGCTAGTCTCAGGGCCTCCCTATTTCTACTACTTAACTACTAAAAGTGTTCACTTTATAGAAACCTTTTTCTGTGTTGAGTATGCGGCACAGGGGCGGATCTAAGCCTCCAGTCTGAGCAAGTCTTATTAAACATCTCTCTACTGCCTTGGTGTCCCAGTGACTGCTACACGCACCACGGAGGATCTGAAAATGTCCGAGGGCCGGCTGCACCCGAGGGGGGGTGGGGTGGCGCACGCCTTTAATCCCAGCACTGAGGCAGAGGCAGGCCGATCTCTGTGAGTTCGAGGCCAGCCTGGTCTACAGCGCTAGTTCCAGGACAGCCAGAGCTGTTGCAGATAAACCCTGCCCCCAAAAACAAGTAAATAAATAACCCAGTCCCTAGGAATGCTTAAGGCGTGGGGGCAGACCGAGCCCGCGTACTTGCGGTACTAGCCTGTTCCTCTGGACGCCGGGACCGGGAGGGATTTCTACGGGACACCCCCCGGGGGCGAACCCTGCTAGGGCTAGGCCTGCGACACAGACCATTGGCCGCGCATGTTGGCGGAGGGGCGGGGCCCGGCCAGGGGCGGGGCCTGGCGTAGCGCACTCAATTGGCCGCGACAGGCGGGTGAGACCCGCGTGAGCACGCGCGAGCGTCGGGGGCGGGGCTGAGGGCTGCGAGTCGCGGGAGCTGCCCGGTCGTACGGGTCCTGCGGTGCCATGATCCGGAACGGGCACGGCGAGGCCGGCGCTGCTGGGCGGAGGGTCCCGGCGGGCCAGCGCGCAGTGCGGGTGTGGTGCGATGGCTGGTGAGTGGGCCGGCGGCCAGGGGCGGGCGGGCCCCCCGGGGTCACGCACCGGCAGTTGGCGGATCCCCAGTCTTCTGAGGCCGCACGAGGCAATCTAGCCTCCGGTCACTTAGGAGTGTAGCGTGCAGACGCGGGTGCATCGGGTGGTGCGCTTCCCTAACACCGGAAATGCGGCCGCCCGCCCGCGGGAGTCATTACCCAGGTTACCGGAGCTGGAAGGCCGTAGGCTTCTCTGGCAAGTCAGCCCGTGACGCTACTGTTAGAAAGTCGTGGAACTGTCAACAAGCAGAAGAGATGTTGGCCTTTCTGTAATTTACCGCCCTCGGCCCTGCGTCGTGCCTACCCCTGGTGGATGAGAAGAGATGCGCAATGGTCACTAGGGTCCCTCAGGAGATATGGAGGGAGAGTGGTCTGCACTTGGTGCATTTCTCGTTTATTTTTGGTTTGGTGAGTCCTGAGGGTGCGATCCATAGCCTTGTCCATGCTAGGCAAGTGCTCCACCACTGAACTGCAACTTCAGACCCCTTCCGCTCTTTGGCACCTGAGTCACCAACAGTGGCTTTGACTTCGTGTCAGTGGACTATGACCTTGGCCCAGCCACAATACTGTACCATAATCCCTGATGCAGACTCTGACCTCTGATCTTGCCCAGCCTGTCTAGTGGGCACAAGGGCTGGCCCAGAATTACCGCGGTGCCTGAGCCTGTCAGGGTTGTCTGTTTTTCTGCCTCCACTCTGTACTGTGTGGCTATACGGGGCTGCTCAAGTCTCCTGAAGACATCCGACTAGAGTTCTGGAGGAAACTGAACAGAGACTGTGGCCCAGCATTGGCCCATGGAGAAGGATACAGGTGGTCCCAGTGTACACTGGTACACCCTCAGTGCCTAGCATGTTGCTGGGTTCTGGGTAGCTTTGACCTTGACAGTGTAGTCAGGGCCAGACCTAGATTTGAGGATAAAAGCTCCAGAACCAGGTGACAGGCACTTGTTCTCTCAGAGAGCTAAGCCAGGCCATGTGGATGGGGGTGGGGAACTGTCTGCTTGACTCCAGTAGAATGGAGTCTGCTCCTAACTCAGGACTGTTTTCTTGTTTCAAAGTTTGAGTGTGGCTTGTCAATCTGGGGATATAATTCTTGCTTAGGGTGCAAGAAATCCCACATTCAAATCCTGGACAAGCTCTTCTATTTTGTGGGCTGGGGATGTAGCTCAGTTGGTAAAATGCTTGCCTGGTATGTACAGAGTCCTGCATTTATTTGCTGGCGTCCAAATAGAAGGGTTTTGGTGGTAATCCCAGCAGGTGGAGTCAGAGGGTCAAGAGTTCAAGGTCATTCTTGGCTACACAGTGAGTTTGAGGAAAGCATGGGCTACCTGAGATCTCATCTTCTGAAAAAAGAACAGGCCAGGCGGTGGTGGCACACGCCTTTGATCCCAGTGCTTGGGAGGCAGAGCTCTGTGAGTTCCAGGCCAGCCTGGTGTACAGAGCGAGACCCAGGACAGGCAACAAAACTACACAGAGAAACCCTGTCTCGAAAAACCAAAAAAAAAAAAAAAAACAGAGCCGGCAGTGGTGGCACAGGCCTTTAATCCCAGCACTCAAGAGGCAGAGGCAGACGGATCTCTGAGTTCAAGGCCAGCCTGGTCTACAGAGTGAGTTCCGGGACAGAGAAGCCCTGTCGGGGTGGGAGGGGAACAAAAGCAGCATCTGGAAATGGCTGCACATCTGCCAGTGAACAACTGTCTTGGAAACTCACCAGCTCTCTGGACCTTACCAGGCCTTGTCCCTGATTTTGCCATTGTTGCTAGACCTGACACTGACTGAATCCTCCCTAAGTCCAGTATATAGGGTATGGACAACTGAGAACCAGTTTTACCTCTGTAAGCCCAACACCCAGGGGTTTGGTTTAATAACCCCCATAGGGGCTTCCCAGGGGGCTTCCGAAGGACCAAAGCTGTGTCCTGCACAAGGCCCCCAGTTTCCTGCCAAGATCAGTACAGGACCTGACTGTCCTGTCTGTCCTCACAGCTATGACATGGTGCATTATGGTCACTCCAATCAGCTGCGCCAGGCACGGGCCATGGGGGACTACCTCATCGTGGGTGTGCATACGGATGGTAAGGTGTGGGTTGCTGTGCTTGCGACCTGCTCTAACTGACCAGGCCTGCAAGGCGGTTGGGGTGCCAGAATGATCCCCGTATCCTTCCCCAGAGCATATTGGGGACTCAAAGTGCAGTAAGCCAGCCTGGTCCCAGCTCTAGAGAGCTGTGGCATCACTGGACAGTTCCCTCAGCTGTGTGGTCCACCCCTACCCTGGTTTCTGAGACCAGAAGAGACTGATGGCCTTTTGTGGTCATAGGCCGTCCTTGTCAACTAGCAGATGCCCTGAGCACACATGCTGGCTGGAGGACGGTGCTGTTTACATGGGGCCCTGCCTCGTGGGCTGCGACTAGCAGAAATGACCCACTGCATACCGTTGCACTTGAGTGGTTATCCCCCGCTGGGCTTTGTGATAGAGGCTCCTAGGGGCTGGGCTTTGGAGCTGGACATCAATTGTTTTGTTTTGTCCTTTTTCTTTTCTCTGTCCCTAGAGGAAATTGCCAAGCATAAGGGGCCCCCAGTGTTTACCCAGGAGGAGAGGTACAAGATGGTACAGGCCATCAAGTGGGTGGATGAGGTGGTACCCGCTGCTCCCTACGTCACCACACTGGAGACACTGGACAAGTACAACTGTGACTTCTGTGTTCATGGCAGTGAGTGGGCGGGGCCTGGAGATGGGGGCTGGGCTCAGTCAGACCAGTTGACAGCTGACGGCATCTCAGAGATAGAGGGCTCCTCATCCTGTGCAGATAGAAAAGCGCTCTGGGTCCGTCCCCCAGAGCAGCGGGACACATGAAAGGGTGGTTCTGGTCCCAAGGGTGCTCCTGAGCTAAGAACCCTTGTTTATGAGCCCAGTGTGATGGCGCATACATATCATCCTAGTACTGGGGAGGCTGAACAGGGACGTTAAATGTTCCAGGTCTGGTGGGTGATAGTGATGCAAGCCTTTAACCCTAGCACTTGGGAGGCAGAGGTAGGCAGATCTCTGAGTTGCCTGGTCTACAAAGCAAGTTCCAGGACAGCCAGGGCTGCACAGAGAAACCCTGTCTTGAAAAACAAAACAAAAGTTCCAGGACAGCCTGGGCTACATAGCAAGATCCTTTCTCTCTCAAAACAACCAAAACAAATCCTTTTCTGTGTGCATGTCACCCCTAGATGACATCACGTTGACAGTAGATGGCCGAGATACCTATGAGGAAGTGAAGCAGGCTGGGAGGTACAGGTAGGTCCCGTGATACTCAAGTGGATCCCTTCCTACCTCTCATTACTGCTTTGAAGTAGCCTGCAAGGCATTTGGACCCACAACTGGGACTGGAAGATATAGAAAGGAATGCTTGTGGGGTGACCTTTGTGACCTGGTGACCTTTGTGTGGCCAGCCAGAGCTTTGCACAAATGGCAGCATTCTTGGCCACCACTGTTGGTAGGGCATCCGTAGACTCTGGTGTCACTGGTGCCCCTGGGGCACTGGCCTTTTATTTTAGTGAACTGTAATTTAAAGAGCCAGCTGTGGCCAGTGGTTCCTACAGAAGACAGAGCAGCCTGGAATTCCCTTGGCAGAGCGTGTATACAGGGTATAGGGCCCTGGGTGTAAGAGAGGCCAGAGGGTACAATGTCAGAATGGGAACCAGAGCTGTTGTGTCTCAGACGTGGTCTGCCTGCTCCCTGGTGCTACACTGAGGAGCTGAATCACTGACATGGGCCATTGTTCCTGCCCCAGTCTGGTTTTCTGTGGGGGGCTGGGTTAGGGTCGTGTCCCTCAGGAGGGGTCCGCCTGTAGCAGAGCCTCAGGAGAGTGTCCTGGATGAAAACCTCCACCTTACCTCTGCCCCAGAGAGTGCAAACGCACCCAGGGTGTGTCCACCACAGACCTCGTGGGTCGCATGCTGCTGGTGACCAAGGCCCACCATAGCAGCCAGGTGAGTCCAAAGGAATGGGGTCTGGGACATGGTCCTTGGGTTGAGGACACAAGAGGGAGGGACACCTCCTAACCACCCTTGGGTCCATCCTGTTTCTCTGACCATCCTGTCACTGGGCTCTGGGGCTGTGGTGTGCTGGTCCCAGGGTTGGCAGTCAGGAGGGCACGGTCCCTTAGTCTCTTGCCCTTGTGTGCAGGAGATGTCCTCCGAGTATCGGGAATATGCTGACAGTTTTGGCAAGGTGAGTACAGCCTGGCTGCAGAGGCCACTCTGGAAATACAGCTGACATTTGACTAGCCGCCACACAGCACTCCCCATCCGCCCACCTTAGGCTTCCCATGGGGAAAGGTTGACCCAGAACCTCACTGTCTGCCCTCCTCCCTCCCGTTCCCAGTGCTGACCAGGTACTGACCACCAGGCTTGGCCAGCTGGTGGATGCTGGGAGGGAGGACAGGCGAGAGGTGGCCAGTCCCCGCAGCCGCTTGGAGGAGGAACAAGGACTGCCACCTACAGGTGGCATCTAACCAAATGGCCTGGCCCTCTCTCCCTTTGTAGCCCCCTCACCCGACACCTGCCGGGGACACACTTTCCTCAGAAGTCTCCTCCCAGGTGACCAGATGGTGGCCTCAGGGTGCCGGGTCCCTCAGAGGGCTGTGTCTGCTGGCCACTGGGCTCTGCGCCTGCTCCTGGTGGTGTGTTGCCAGGCAGAGCTGGTGTTGACTGCAGTATCTGCTGTGGCCACCGGGAGGAGCCACAGTCCTGCTAGCTACAGTGGCCCTGCTTGGCCTTACCATGGTGTGTCCCTGCCCCTGCCCCAAGTGCCTGCCTGGACAGAGCCCATAGCCAGCGTGCTGCTGGGTTATTCGCAGGCTGGGGTTGGGGGGAGTCCAGCCTCTAATGCTCTTTGTACATGCTCCCATCACCCACACCTATGACAGGGGCACAGGGAGCCCTGGGCTCAGAAGAGTGGCCCTGGGGAGGGTGATGGGTGAGGGGCACACCTAGAGGCCTCTACCGCTGACTGGTTCCTTCTCTTGGCTAATAGTGTCCTGGGGGGCAGAACCCCTGGACAGGGGTGTCCCAGTTTCTACAGACATCCCAGAAGATCATCCAGTTTGCCTCTGGGAAGGAGCCCCAGCCTGGGGAGACAGTCATCTACGTGGCCGGTGCCTTTGACCTGTTCCGTATCCTCTTAGGGCCTCTGCTGCCCCACATTCATGCCACAGAGTGGAACCCATAGACTCCAGGGTTGAGCTGGGTTGTAGCGGGTATAGCCCTCATCAGGGAAAATGGCAAGGAGTCCCTTGGGTACATACTGTTGAGGACAGAGGACAGAGCCCCTCCCTTCCTAGCCCATTACTGCTGCCTCTGCCCCCCTTACCCCCCTTGGGTTGGGGATGGAACCCAGGGCTCTGTATCTGAAACAACTGATCTACTGCTGAGCCACAATCCCAGGTCTTGCTTTTTTGAGACAGAATATTCCTGTGTAGTCCAGGCTGACCTAGAACTTACAATGCTCCTGCCTCCACCATGTGAGTACTGGGTTTACAGGAAAACACCGTCATACACAGCTAGTTACTGCTTCTTAATCCGGATATAGACATCGGGCACGTGGACTTCCTAGAGAAGGTGCATAAGCTAGCCAAGAGGCCCTACATCATCGCCGGCCTACACTTTGACCAGGTCTCTGCCTTTCTACTTGCTTGCTTCTCAGCACCCCATCAGCTGATGGGCCATGGGATTCCTCAAGGGGCCTCGCTGGGGTCAGTGTTGGGCACAGGTGGCCTCTGAAGGAGTGAGGCTCCAGGTGTCTAGTGAAGGCAAGCATGGTTCTCTCCTGGAGTCCAGGACAGCCCTGCCTAGGGTGTTCCTGTGAGAAGGGGCACCTCTCCCACTTCTGCCCAGGAAGGCCAGCTGGGAGGGAGGGCACTGTTCATTAGCTGAGCCAAACTCCTGGCCCTAGGAAGTAAACCGATACAAGGGCAAGAACTACCCCATCATGAACCTGCACGAGCGGACTCTCAGTGTGCTGGCGTGCCGGGTGAGTGGGCTGGGAGCAGTGTTTCCCTGAGCCAGGGCAGGGGCATCCACCTGCCGGTGAGGTGGGTGGAGGGTGGCTGGGCCCTGTTGGTACAGTTTCTTTACCCTGCTGCGGAGTCAGAGGATTCCCTTTGCCCACTGGCCCCTGCTGTGTTGCCTCATCCCAGCTGGCTCCCCTGGGGCCTTCTCTGCCACCCTCTACCCCTGGCTTGCCAGAGATGAGGACTGAGTGAGTTGCTTTACCGCCCGTCTCTGCAGTATGTTTCAGAAGTGGTGATTGGGGCACCGTACTCCGTCACAGCAGAGCTCCTGAGTCACTTCAAGGTGAGGCTTCTCTCCAGCTGAGCAGAACATGATGCCAAGGGTTGAGGATCCTGCCTGGGTCAGCCAGGGCTGGTTTTCCTAGGTCTGGGCTAGCCCTAGGTGGTTGTCAGTGGTGGCATAGCTTCTCTGAGGAGGCCTCCTGACCCTGCTTCCTCCCCCCAGGTGGACCTAGTATGTCATGGGAAGACAGAAATTGTACCTGACAGGGATGGCTCTGACCCCTACCAGGTGGGTTGCCCCAGCCTGGGCTGCCTCTGGGAAGCAGGAACAACCATTCTCGCTGGTATTGGCCTCCCATGGGTGGAGGGGCACCCGGGGTGTGTTTGTAGTCAGGTTTCTCACCTCCCTCTTCTCTTTGCATTGAGGCCTCCAGGAGCCCAAGAGAAGAGGAATCTTCCGTCAGATCGACAGTGGTAGCGACCTCACTACAGACCTGATTGTGCAAAGGATTATCAAGAACAGGTGTGTTCCCCACCCACTCTGGCTGGGTTGGTGGTGGGCAACTCCCAGTATTGGAAAGGCCCAGTTTATACCTGTCTGACCCAGGTTGGAGTACGAAGCCCGGAATCAGAAGAAGGAAGCCAAGGAATTGGCCTTCCTGGAGGCCATGAGGCAGCAGGAGGCGCAGCCTGCAGGGGAGACTGACTAGCTTCTGACCTGGAGGATGTCGCTCATGCCCCCATCTCTCCCTGCCCTGCTCTGCTCTGTGTCTTGGTGCCAGCTCACACAATTCCAAAGGAAGCTGGCCTTGCTGGAGGGTGCTGTTCCGCCTGCCTGTGAGGGAGGCACCGCCTGTCTTGCAGTAGACTCGGTCCTTCCCACTGAGCTGCTCAGAGAGGGTGGCTAGCACAGGGAAGCAGCCCAGTGGACAGGATAAGCAGAGGGCACCCGAGACAGGAGGAGTGTTGTGATGGGTCCTTAGCATCCACAGTTCCAACTGCCACTGACCCAGTCTTGCCTGGGGACACCCCTCTGCCTGACTGGAAGCTGCATATCTGCCCACCCAGCTTTGGTGAAAGGTACAGAGGGATGACTTTGGGGACCTCTTGTTTTGTGTCACCCTACAAGTGGGTGCCCTCTACTTTGGGGCTCGTTCTAGCACCCCATTCCTGATTCCTAGAAGATGCACTTGCCCTGACGGCTGGGCCTGCTTGACTGTTCTCGGCACAGACTTCGTGGTCCTCATTTTGTACCTCGGTGGCTGATGTAAATCTCTTTGGCTCAACTGAATAAAGCCTAGAGTGACGTGCTCCGTGGGCTCCCAGCCCTGGGAAGAAGCAGGAAACCCATCTGCAGCAAGAATTCTTCTAAGAAAGGGAAAATGATCCAGGCCAGGAAGTTGGGTGGCTTGTGCACATGTCCCTGGCTCTTCTATAGACCACAGGGTCTAGATCTTGGCCCCCTAGCAGGTCTGCTTGAGTCCAGCAGTTGCTGAGGCTCCTAGAGCTGCCTCTTGGTGGCTGATTGTGGGGGAGACTGGCTCAATGCCGAAGCAGCTGACAATGGTGAAGCCCTGGCTCCTCCCAAACAAGGGTGCTGGTGGTGCTTTCCTACCCCATGCCCGCCCTCTAACTGCCGAAGCAGGTAGACCTGCCCTCTCTCCTCCCTTGGAGACAGGAGAGCCTTTGCAAATGTTTCAGACCTAGAGTCAGGATCTGGAGGAGGGGCACACATACTTCCAGCCTGGGTGGTGCTCAGCATTCCTCACCTCAACCCTACGGCCTAGTAGGAATGGGGTGGTGCCCACACTAGGATCCCTGAGCAGGCTCAGGTTAAGGAAGCCACCTGAGGGTGCTGCTGCTGCCTAGACTGGGGCTGGTCCTCAGAGGAACGCTGCACAGGCAGGTGTCTGTGTGCCACCCACAGCTCTGAGCAAGGTGTGGCTGGTCAGGGCACCATGGAGAAGAAGATGCCCTAAACAGCAGGCTCAGAGCCTCTCAGACCAGAGCTCAGGTACTGAAGTTGGCACCTGAAGTGTTTGCTTTGGGCTGGAGGGAAGGCAGGGCAAAAAAGCAGCAGTCAGAGGCAGAACTCAAGTCAGCTGCCCACGGGGCTAGCCAGGCCGGTCACTGAGCCTTACAGTCCCTCTGGCCCTCGGGGCAGTGGGGGTCTGGGGGAGGGTGGCCCGGATCTGTGAGGCCTGAAAGGAGGCCAGGCCAGGCTTGTACCCAGGTTTGTGGGTGGGTCCAAGGGCTCCTGTGAGTTAGTTACATCCTTGCTCTGGCTCACTTCTTGTCCTCTAATTTGTTGAACACACAGTAGCTATGTGCTTAGTACTTCAAGGTCTTTTGGAGGGACTTTAAAGGGTGGCAGACAGACAAGGTTAGGGTTGGGAGCAGTAGGAATCCCAGAAGCAGGAGAGTCACCTGAGGTGAGGCAGGACCCAAAAAAGCAGGGCTTCCTAAAAGAACCTGTGAACTTGGACTGTTATGGGTGACTCTGAAAGACTTTGAGGGACGGGATTGGTATGGCCTGAGGATCCTCTGGGGTTGTTTCCTCTGGACCTGCTAGGAACTGTCTGTCCTCAGTGCCTGCTAATTAAGTAGAGGGTCACCTATGGGGTGGGGGCGGGGCCTCTATACCTGTTCTGGCTTTGTGGAAGAGGAAAAGACCCAGCCTGGCCAGAGAAGGGCATGCTGTCGGGAAACCAAGCGGTGGCCCCGGGGCCTGCTCAGCCCATCACAGGAGCGCTCCTCGGTGTCTGCGCTTACCTTCACCAGCAACCCTCAGCAGAGACAGCTTTGCTTCTTTATTCATTTAGCCATTTGATACGGAACGTGATAGGGTTAGGGGCCACAGGCGTCAACCCACATGACAGGGCCGGCGCTGCTCCAAGCATCGAGCAAGACTGGGCACGGGGGTCACCCACCACAGCCAGTCGAGGTTGGGGTTTGGGTTCAGGGTGCAGGCCGTTGACATTCAGCCTCCTGCAGCGACAAGAAGACGTCCGCCTTACACTGGAAAGTCCCTGGGCTGTTGAATTGCCGCTGGCAGCTCTGCAGGTTCGGGGTCACCTCTTTGACACACAGGGCCTGGGTAGGCGGTGGAGGCTGAGGGTCCGCCCCTGCCCCACCAGCTCCCGCCACCCACCACCGGCTTGCACTCACAAGGCTCCTTAGGCTGGGGCGCATCTCCAAGCGTAGGGGTCCTGTTCCGACGGGGAGTGCTGAGGACTCGGAGCGTCGCGTGGACGGGAACCTGTGGAAGCTGGACAGTAGCCCCGCGGCACGGCCCACCGAGTAGTGGTGGGGTCCCGCCGCAGGCTTGTACCACGCAAGGGCCGGCGGCAGGAGCAGCAAGGGCAGCGCCAGGGCTGCGGCCACCAGCGTCCCGCACTGGGCCATGGCCGTGTGGCAGGGTCAGGGGGATGTGGCTGAAGTCTGAGAACCAGGCTGGGCTTTATATCAGCAATGGGGGCGGGGTCAGAGGCGGGGTGGGGGGAGCAACAGGGAAGAGCGGCAGTGGAGCACGGGGGATCAACGGGATCTCTCACACCTCGCCAGGCCTGAATACTCATGTCACGGGTGGGCAGAGGGCCAGTCTCTCCCTGCCCGAAGTTGAACTGCCCTCTTAGGTCCAAGGCTTATTGGCCAGAAGTATCAACGTCCAAGGGTGGGATGCGGGACTGTCTGAGGATGACTAACTACTGCTGTGATGAAACATCATAATCAACAGCAACTTCAGGAGGAAAGGGTTTCATTTGGTTTACATATGCCCAGTCACAGTCTCCTGTGATAAGCCAAGGCAGGAACTCAAACAGGGAACCTGGAAGCAGGAGCTGATGCAGAGGCCATGGAGGGGTGATGCTTACTGACTTGCTCCTCATGGCTTCCTCAGCCTGCTTTCTTTCAGAATCCAGGACCACCCACGATGGGCTGGGCCTTCCCTGATCAATCATTAATTCAGAAAATTTTCACTGGGTATGGTGACCCATGCCTTTAATCCCAGCACTTAAGAGGCAGAGGCAGGTGGATCTCTGTGAGTTTGAGGCCCACCTACAAAGCACATACCAGGAATCTAGGGCTTTTATACAGAGAAACCCTGGCTCAAAAAAAAAAAAAAAAAAAAAAAAAGGAAATTTCCAGGCTGGAGAGATGACTCAGTGGTTAAAAAGCACTGGCTGCTCTTCCAGAGGACCTGAGTTCAATTCCCCAGCACCTACATGACAGCTCACAACTGTCTGTAATTCCAGTTCCAGGGCCTCTGCAGGCATTGGGGAAATCCATGTGATGCACAGACATGCTTGCAGGCAAAACATACAAACACATAAAACAGAAATTATAATTAAAAAAAAGAAAATGGCCTACAGGCCTGCCCACAGCCTGCTCTTATGGAGGCATTTTCTCAGTTGAGGCTCCCTCCTCTCAGATGACTCTAGCTTGTGTCAAGTTAACATTAAACGCCAGCACAGCACAGGTCACGTGCCAGTCTCAACAACAGGGTCTCACTCTGTGACCCAGACTGGCCTTGAACTTGGGGAAAGTGACTCCTGTGTCATCTTCCAGGCTGGACTGCTTTGTTTTGTGCTCATGGTGGGAGGTTCTGCTACCAGACATGTCCTTTATGAGCAGGAAAAGTATCAAACTCAGGTTCTAACCTTCAGAAAGACCTGAGCAAACAACTCCAGACCCCAAGTCCTGCCCACTCTGCCCCAGGGGTTGTGGCTAGGACTTCTCTGCCTGTACTTAACGAACAGTGGTTCAAACGCTGGACACAGGATGGCAATGTGTAAGAGACATGTGTTGTGTTGCGTGCAGGGCCAGAACATTAGTAGGACAGAGTCCCTGGCCAGGCAGGGCGGGCACAGGCGCATTAAAGAAGAGGGCATGGAGAAAGCCTATGGCATGAGCTTCCCACAGGACCTTCTGTTCCTGCCTGGGAGCACAAGCTGTAGTAATTGGATTCTCTCAGGTGTCCTGACCTTTTTGGAGGAAACAGATAGAAGAATAATGGAGAAGAAAAAAGGCAGGAGTCAGGGACCCCAGATGCAGGGAGGTACATGCCCAAGGTTTATGTTTTTCTGACCTCTAGAGAGACTGAGGATGTGAGATGGGTGGAGCTGACCCTGAGGACAGGACTAACTGAAACCCTGAGATAACAGAGCACAAAGACCTACGCACTGAGGAACCCAGAGTGAAGCCTTGTAGCCATGGAGGGCACTGAGGTGAGCCTGGGAAGATAAAAACCTCGTGAACAGGAAGATGATTCAGAGAGGATGACCCAAAATGATGAATTCCCCACAGAAGGTTCCTAGGAAAAGCAGAGGGCACTCCAAGAGAGTGAGCAGACTGGGGATGGAAAATCAAGCTAGGATGGACCAGACCTGTCGGCCCAAGGAGCTCCAATCCACAAATCTTGGCTCCCTCTCAGCTCTGGGTATCGCAGGCTGAGTTACACTCCATCTCTACTCCTGATAGCTGGTGCCAGTTCCAGGACCAGAATGCTATAGATAACTGAGTGCTATCTATATGGAGTTACAGTCTCTCAGAAGCATAGATGTTCCATGTAGGAGTACCTCAAGGGCACCATACAGAATGGACAGCAAGTCTCAGCCAACACACATGTAGATGATACAAATGGCCTTGAGCCCTGCCCCTGCTGGTCTACTCTCCAGGGTGTACAGCACACGTGGTGTGCAAACATGTTCACACTGGCAATGGTTGCTGAGTCTGTGAGGACAAGGTGATGAACTGACCTGGACTCCCAGATACCAGCCTAAATTGGTTTCCACCCAGAAGCTTCCAGGCACCCTGAGGCTGGGCTATTGTTCCCCTAATGGCTGATAATCCCCGGCTGTAGGAATAAAGGGGTGTCCAAAGGGCTGTCCTTCCCTAAAACACCAGAGGACCCACATCCTCCTACACCAGATCTGGCCCTCAGTCTGAGGAAAAGACGAGGGACTCTGACCAGCTTGCTGCAGTATTCTCCAAAGACCATCTGGGCATGGCCAGCACCTGCTTAGCTACCTCTTCCTCCAGCCAAATGGTTCCTGAAGGGAGGTTGCCAGCTTTGCTCAGCTCGGGCTGGGGATCGAGAGATCCTGGGCTCCCACCAGGTTAGGGCAGCTGATGGGCTGTGTCCCCCCAGTCCTTGGGCACAAGTACACCCTGAAGTCTCTGCTCGGCCTGGCGCTGCCTTGTCTCCTCTACTTCTCCTGTTTCTGAGCTGTGACTCATGTTACCATGGAGGCCTCGGCAGTTAGTTCATCAAGATGTTTATTCATAAGGGTTTTCATACCAAAACATGCTGCAGCTGGATCAATGTGTCAAGAAAACAGGCAACAGAGGCCTCCAGCAAGGCTCAGAACTTTAATGAGTTTTACTTATTGAATAAAGTGTCAGTGATGTGATAGGGAAAAACAAAAAACAAGTGAACCTTGTTTCAGCCAAAAGGAACACATCCTTGTCCCCAGTACAGAACAAGGTCCCTAGGTACCACTGTGAGGAGGGGGTCTCAGGATGTCGTATCTGGTGAAGGGAAGGGGCTGAGCCTGGCACAGTGCTGGGAGAGGGGATGGGCACAGCACCGGCCTCACTCTTTGAACTTCCACTCTTGGCGACACATGGGGCAGTGCTGCTGCACTTGCTGCGCGTTCAGCCATTTGAGGATGCAGTGCATGTGGAAGCAGTGGGAGCACTGTCCCCACACCAGGGGGCAGTCATCGCCAGGCACCTTACCTGCAGGGGGGCCAGAGGGAAGAGGTTAGGAAGAGGAACCAGACAAGACACACAAGAGCATGTGACAAGCCAAGCGGGCACCTCCAGGATACTGGTAACCGCTCTAGACCACAGGCAGAGCCTCTCATGCCTCCTATATCAGAGGAGACAAAAAGGAGGAGTGACCCAAATCATCCCCAGGTATGGCCCACTGCATAAAAGATCTAGAGATTCCCTCATTACCAAGGGAAGCCTCCTCAGAGCGGGAGGTCTGGCCTGATCCACTAGTTTCCAGTGCCTCCCTAAGACCCTTCTGTGGAAAACTGACCTGTCACACCCAGAAGGTACCATTAAAATGGTCAAGGTGCCAAAGATTCACAACCTGAGTAGGTAACTCTTTGTCTTCAGTAAAAGCCTCCTAGAACCTGGAAAGCTCTTTCCATGGACACCAGAGACCTACTGCACTAAAAGGGCCTTAGGGACCTGGTGTTCCTGGGATAGCTACTGATGGGACTTGGTATCAGTATGTGTTATCTCATCTGAATCCTCACCTCTCCTACCTCCTCCATTCAAAGCCAGGGGCACAGGCTGCAAGCACCCACTCTGCAAGCCTGGAAATGCTTCTTCCATGGAGAAAGCCCAATCAGAGATGGACAAGGTCCATATCATGATCAAATTAATCAGGGGCTATACAGATGACTCAGTAGTTAGAGCACTTGCTGATCTTGCCGAGGACCCCAGATCTAGTTCCCAGCTTCCACATGGCAGCTCACAGCAATCTGTAACCCCAGTGCCAGGGAGGTCAACACCCTCTTCTGGTCTCCACAGACACTCATGCATGTGGTACAGATGGACATTCAGACAGACACCCATACACATACAATACAAATAAATCTTTTTTTTTTTCGAGACAGGGTTTCTCTGTGTAGCTTTGCGCCTTTCCTGGAACTCGCTTTGTTGACCAGGCTGGCCTTGAACTCACAGAGATCCGC